GGAACGTTTATTTTTCCCAAGAGCAGGTGGCACTATTCTTAAGTTTAACCAATTTTTTTTTGTTTCTAACCAACCTGTCAGGGATGTTATTACACACTTGAACCTGGACTCCAATAAGCATCACCTGCTCTCTGTGAATGCTGAAGTTGTCTTGTTTTATCCTTAAAGTGACGTGTACTCAACTGCCTGCTATCCTGAGAATGATTGATTGATTTATTTATTCCAACTCTGTTTTCTATCTGTTAACCAATTTTCAACCTATATTTCCTCATCCCATGTGCTCCTCCATGCGCACGCCTCTTGCTCCGTCCTCACCTATCCAATCCTTTCATTATTTGAATGATCTTTGCCTAGTCTTCTAATTTACACATTTGTGTAGTGAAAAGACCCATCTCTCTCATATTATTGTGGTAGCAACAGGCTTTTAAGCTTGACATCAGTGTAGTGGCCCTCCCCCAGAATCGTTCTGGGTTACTTGCTATATGAATGGACCAAAACTGCACACCTAGTATGTTAAATGAGTCCTGACCTTGTTTTTGCAAAGAAAGTATAACGCTTTTAGTGTTTATTGGAACATCCAGTAATGTATATAATAACCCATTTGTTTTGCCGCAGGTTTATGGCCTGAGTGTGAACCTCATCATTAGAGCAAAATAGGGAATAGGGGAGATAGTAGGAACTGCAGATGCTGGAAAATCTGAGATAACAAGGTGTAGAGCTGGATGAACACAGCAGGCCAAGCAGCATCAGAGGACCAGGAAGGCTGACGTTTTGGGCCCAGACTCTTCGTCAGAAATGGGGGAGGGGAAGGGGGTTCTGAAATAAATAGGGAGAGAGGGGGAGGCGGATAGAAGATGGATGGAGGAGAAGATAGGTGGAGAGGAAACAGACAGGTCAAAGAGGCGGGGATGGAGCCAGTAAAGGTGAGTGTAGGTGGGGAGGTAGGGAGAGGATAGGTCAGTCCAGGGAGGACGGACAGGTCAAGGGGGCGGGATGAGGTTAGTAGGTAGGAAATGGGGGTGGGGCTTGAAGTGGGAGGAGGGGATAGGTGGGAGGAAGAACAGGTTAGGGAGGCGGGGACGAGCTGGGCTGGTTTTGGGATGCGGTAGGGGGAGGCCCTATCGCAGCCTTCCTGCTCCTATGATGCTGCTTGGCCTGCTGTGTTCATCCAGCTCTACACCTTGTTATCTCAGGGAATAGGGGATCTTTGCATGGAGGCAGATAGCACGGCTGAGAAGCTAAACAAGTACTTTGTAACTGTCCTTACCAAAGGTATTGAAGTTGTAATGAAAGAGGAAGTATTTGATACACTGGATGGGCTATAAGTCAATAAAGAGGAGTTATTAGAAAGGCTGGTTGTGCTTAAAATTGATATGTCACTAAGACTGGATGTGATATATCCAGTGGTGCTGAAGGGAGTACGAGTAGAAATAACAAATACTGGTCGCAATCTTATAATCCTCCTTGGATAAAGGAATGGTGCCATGGACTGGAGAATTCCAAATGTTACTCAACTACATTTTGGAAAAAAAAAGGTGTGAAGATAAGCCCAATAAATACAGGCAAATCAGTTTAGCCTCTGGGGTGAGGCAAGTTTTAGAAACAATAATTTGGGACAAAATTAACAGTCACTTGAACAAGTATGCATTAATTGAGGAAAAAGCAGCGTGGATTTGTTGAAGGCAAATTGGGGTTAAGATTCACAAGTATAGGGAGTGAATTCAGTTACGTGGATGGATTAGAGAAGCAGGGCTGTTTGTAGACGTGCTCAAAGTTATGAAGAGTCTGGACAAGAATGACTTAAAAGCATCTTTTATCTAATATGTCCCAAGAATCTTCTCAGGAATATTATAATACAAAATGTACATTGAGCTATGTTTACCACAGATCGACAGCACAAAAGCATCCATGGTTTAGTCCCAATCACAATTTTGAATGCAGAAAGCTGTGTTTTGTTTGAGGATGCTTGACACTGGGTGCATAGATCGAAGCATGGAAACTTCCCACTTTGCCTTGTACTGAAGTCCCTTTGCTTGATAAACCCAAGAAAGTTTTTATTTTGGAAGCCCTGTAGATGAGCAATTTCCATTACTTTAATGTGATCTCAAGCGTTTGCAAACCGATGAGGTGTAGATTAAATACTTCTCATTCCTTTTCTTTTCCAGTTTGGGCTGTGGGATTGGCTATGGATACCTGCACAGGATACCAATCCACAAGCATTTATCTGAGAGAAAGTTATCACCAGTTCTTCGAACTAGCCTGCCTTCTAGTCCTATGGTAAGCACAATGAAAGGTGGAGTTATAGAGACTGTGTGTGTGTCTCTCTCTCTCTCTGCCTGTGTTTGAGATATCTAATCTTATTTGTCCAGGCATGTTGAATTAGGCTGGCAAGTTTATAACTTTTTGTTTGGTAACTTTTCATCTTGGCTATTTCAACACTATCCTTCAAATGGATCTTTCTGTACTGGACATTGTGTTGCTAACTGTCTGGTTTTGGCTGACTTTAAACCATGGTTTGTTGTCTGTTGGTTCAGGTATTAGCCCTTTTGTTTCTGACTCAGAAAGCTGTGGGTTCAGGTCCCACTCCAGGACTTCTGCATAAAAATCATTCTAGGGCAGTACTGAGGGAGTGCTGCATTGTCTGAGATGCTGTCTTTCAGATGAAAAGTTCAACAGTATCTGCTCCTAAAGTGGACGTAAAAGATATTTTGAGGAGAGGGTTTCTCCCCAGTGTCCTGGCCAGTATTTATTCCTCCATGTCATGCCAGTATATTGCTGTTTGTGGGAGCTTGTATGTGAATTGGGTGGCACATTTCTGATGTTAAAACAGTGATAACTTTCAAAACTACTTCATTGGATATGAATTGCTTTGGGATGCCGTTGCGCTATATAAGTGCAAATACTTTTCCTTAACTGTTGGTGCTTTTCAGATTCATCATTCATTCTTCCCCCAACCACAACTATTTTCATTCGTCTCTTTCTAATTTGCTGTTTGTGGGATTTTGCTGTGCGCAAAGTGGCTTCTGCATTTGCTATGGGAACGTTATCTACTCCTGTCCCTAAATACTGTTAGGCCCTTCAAGCCTACTCCTCCATCCAATAAGATCATAGGCAATCTGGTTGTGGTTTCAACTCCATTTTGCTGTCTGCAACACCCCACCCCCCCCAACCCAACAAGCCCAAATAACCTTTGACACTCTTGTGTATTAAAAAATCTATCTAACTCTGTGCACTTCTGAGTAATGTGTGTGACATGTTTGGTACATTTGAGAGAATGTGTGTAATAGGAAATGAGCAAAAGAGTTATAACGTGTTCAGAATAGATTGGATCAAACAGTTGTAGTTGTTTAATGCAGCAAAAGACAAATCATACAGGTGTGGAAAGGGAAAGAGAGTGTAAGTCCAAAATATGAGAGCAATTTACAGGAAATGACCCTGGAGATGGATTGGCATTTAACCAAAAATGTTCCTAAAGTGTCAGCACCACAGTGCGTGAAGTGCTGGTTTTGCTTCTTCAGTATTAAGTACATGTACAATTACGAGGAACATTCTCATTTGATGGATGTGTGAAGCATCCGTGTCAGTGCAGTGCTGAGCAAGGTTGTGCAGCCCCTCAGTGTCTCTGCACGCCCGTCAATATGTGGCTGTATTGATTTTTGGTCCTGCACACCGAACTCTGAGGTCTGCGTAACAGCAGGGAGAATTGGAGGAAAGGTAGGTACTGAAGTAGTGAAAAGTATGACATGGTCAGATGGGGAGGGAAAGCGCTAGCCTATTGGTGTTATTGCTGGACTGTTAATCCAGAGACCCCAGATAACATTCTGGGGACCCGGGTTCAAATCCCGCCAATTTGAATTCAATAAGAATATCTGGAATTAAGAATCTAATGATGACCATGAATCCGTTGTCGATTTGTCAGTAAAAACCCATCTGGTTCACTAATGTCCTTTAGGGCAGGAAACTACCATCCTTACCTGGTCTGGCCTGCATGTAACTCCAGACCCACAGCAATGTAGTTGACTCTTAACTGCCCGATGGTGGCAAATGCTGACCCAACTAGCAATGCCCTCATCCCATGAATGAATAAATAAAAATAAATGTGCTGTGTTTTGGAGGAGATGCTTAAATAAGGTCCTGAAATGGACATAAAGTTCCATGCTCTTATTGAAAGAAGAGCAGTGGCATCCAAAGCCCTAAAATGGATTGACCTCCTCATCGTCAAATTGCTATTAGTTTGACTTCGTTGTATGCAAATTGGTGCTTGATTCCTGAAACATTAATAATAACAGTAGTGACTGCACTTAAAGTGTCTGTTAAGTCCTGAGGTTGTGAAAGGTGATCTGTGAGTGCAAACCTGCCCTTTCTATGTGGAATAACAAGGTGTAGAGCTGGATGAACACAGCAGGCCAAGCAGCATCAGAGGAGCAGGAAAGCTGATGTTTCGGGTCTGGACCCTTCTTGATCTTTTTATTCAGTCGTGCATAGCCCTTCATTTGAGTGCAGCAATTCACTTAAATTAAGTGTAGTGAGTGATGGGTAACTCAGTTTCCTGGAGCTTACTCGATTGTATCGTGGAATCCGGGATGGTACGGGTACAAGTTTAATATTTTGCCTTCTCTCTTTCACCCCTGACCTCCTAAAAGTTAATAAAAAAGATACTGTTGCAATCTCTTACCAAGCATTTATATGTGACCCTAAACTGTCATCAGTTGCTTATTTGACAAAAAAAATGAGAGAAAAGAGTGAAATTAGCCAATTCAGCAGAGGAGGAAATCAACCCTGACTCTGCACTCTGAGCATCTGAGCTGTTACTCAGGCTGACGCAGTGTCGGTGAGAGTTGATTGCAGTACATATTTTGCCAGCACTGCAGTTGTAGTTTGACTTGGCAAGTTTAATCCTCTGTGCTAATAAATATGCATGTGGAAGGAGTGACGTACTGCTGGTGACTTTAGTCCTAGTGCCTTGACAAAATGGAGATTTGAAGAAAAAGGATTGCTCCATTTATAGATAGTGCCATTGAGGTGTTTATCCCGCGTGGTGTCATAGACAATTTCCTTTTTCAGAGCAGAAGGTCTCATTTCCTGTGGAAGACAATGTGAGAACGGTACAATCACTTCTGGCGCTGAAATTGGTGTCAAAGCGCAAAATGCAATGCACTGTGCATCAAGCAAGGAACAGCCCTGGTCCTGCAGGGACTTTGGACCACAGTATTGGCGCAAGGACAAAGTGGAATGAGAGGAATGAGATCCTTTCCTGTTCTGCCGATGATATCAAAATGATATTTGGCAGTAATAGTTTCGATGGCCTACCTGTCGGTTTTTTTTTTGTATATGTTAGTCGGTTAATTAACTGAAACAGCTCCCATTATTGTTTTCAGGAGGCATAGAAACCAGTGGTAGTACAAATCAGCCTTCAGAAATAATTCTACCTTAAACAAAATGTGCATTTTATTTTTCCTCCCTCTCATGTTGCCATGTTCATAATGACACATGTAGGGTTATATTCTAAAGTTTCTTTTCTTTGTAGGTTCCTTTTTCAGCTCCGAGTGCTCCTGCAATGAGTAACATGCCCTCAGGTCTGCCAAAGGAGCTAAGCGATCTCAGGCTGGGAACAACATCTCCTTCAGTCACAGGCACATTCACACCAGGTACTGGTAGAATTGCATTAATAGTGCATTCCGTCACAACTATTTCAGGAAGTGATTTCTGCATTGCTGGCGGATGTCGTTCCTATTTGTAAATTTCAGGCAGGTTTCTATAGTACTAGATCATGGATGCAATTAAGGTTTATCCTACTGACGCAATGTGTCCATTAACCTCTCGTTTGCTTTGTCCATCGCTGGCACATGCATCATGGCTGCAGCATGAAATGGTTACACTGGAGTAACAATAAAAGGCTTCTTTAACAACACCTCTCAGATCTATGATATATGCCACTGAGGAAAGACAAGGGCAATAGGTGCACGGAAGCATTATCCACTCCAGTTGCACAACATTCATTAAGGCTTGACTCTACTGTCTCCTAACTGGAGTCAATCTCTTGACATTTGAGATATTTGGCATGGAAATCACAAGTTGCTTTGTTCATGAGCCACTGGTTCATAGACGCCAAGCATCAGTTGGCAGATTGCGACCAGGCACTTGCAACAGAAGGGAGCTGGATTGGGATGTTGCGTGCCTTTTATTGAAGGGGTAGTGTTGCTTGCACTGGGTGCTGGAGTGAGTGGAGAGGAGAACTAGAGCTGTATGGCTAGGATCAGAAGAGATTGGGCTAGTTTATTTTGCTTTTAAAGTTTAATGGCAAAAATATTGCAGGAAGAGTAGATATCATGCAGTAATGCTGTATTAACTATGTGACCTACTGTATCAGCACTGTTATTTTCCCAACTCCCTATTCTCGTATTGAGTGGTAGTTGGAACTTCCGTGTGTGGAATGAACTGCCAGAGGAAGTGGTGGATACAGGTACAGTTACAACATTTTAAAAGACATTTAGATAGGGGCAGCACGGTGGCTCGATGGTTAGCACTGCAGCCTCACAGCGCCAGGGACCCAGGTTTGATTCCACCCTTGGGCGACTGGCTGTGTGGAGTTTGCACATTCTCCCTGTGTCTGCGTGGGTTTCCTCCATGTGCTCTGGTTTCCTCCTACAGTCCAAAGATGTGCAGGCTAGGTGGATTGGTCGTGCTAAATTGCCAGTGTTCAGGAATGTGTAGATTAGGTGGGTTACAGGGGGATGGGTCTGAGTGGGATGCTCCGAGGGTTGGTGTGGACTTGTTGGGCCGAAGGGCCTGTTTCCACACTGTAGGGATTCTATGATAAGTACGTGAATAGGAAAGGTTTGGAGGAATATGCGCCAAGCACAGGCAGGTGGGACTAGTTTAGTTTTGAAACATGGTCAGCGTGGACTGGTTGGACCGAAGGGTCTGTTTCCATGCTGTATGACTCTATGACTATCCCATAAGATGCTTGCTTATGCATGTTAGATCTATACATGAGTGACTGCATGTACACATACGTAACTGTTGTCATGAATCTTTACTAGAGGCTCCTCCACTGGCTGAGGAAGGTAGTTGTTGTCTATTGCCCCCTCTGGACCAATGCCAGTGGACACAATGATTACAGGTTGTACTGTTACTGCAATCAACTTTTAACACTTCAGTTTAAAATTGCATCAGGTTGCTACTTCAAAATCACTGCTGAGATTTTGATTATTGTCTGCATTGGCAAGCAATATCTGGCCAGGCTTCAGTCACACAGAAGGGTGTGTGCTCCTTCTCTAAACTCTGAGCTCAAGCTCCTGCTTCTGTGATTGTTATTCTTAGGTTATCATTCCCAATGTCTTCAATACGCTTTTCTTCCTTTGGTATGTTTTCTCTTGATCTTCCAGAAAGTTTGACTCCTGCCCATGATCCTCATGACCCTGAGATTATCCATCCAAGGGTCGTATGGACAAGATAAATCTGTTTCATTGTCCTTCTTTCTGTCTTTAATTTAGAAGCCTGTATCACCAGATTCTGCTTAGTGGGCAGTGCCTGGCTCTGCCTTGCACAGTAGGTTATTGTTCTTGTGAAGTTGGCCACTTTTCCCACTATCCTTATAGAGCGTTGGCTGTTAACCATACTGGTGTTTGAATTAAGATGCAGCTGTACAGCTACATAATGTACAGGGTACACTTCAGCACTCGCTTGCAATCGTTCAAGCACAATGTGATTGCCTTTGACTGCAATTCTTTTTCTTTTAATGTTTGTGTCGATCAAAATGATGGGTGCAAGCACTTTTTAGTAGTGTGTACTTATGCCTTGTATTTGGGTTCCAAAGAAGTAGCTCTTGAAACAGACTAATAACCTTCCTGCTTTTTGATGTGCATTACTTTTCAGAAGATTTTTGTTGGGATATTAATCTGCACTGTCATCATCACCAACTCCAGCAGGAAATTAACAACAAAAGTTCAGGCGTCTACCCTGTTCTGATGCTGGTTGAGATTTGTTGAAAATCGTCAACTTCTCAAATGCTTAATAAAGATTCCAATTACGTTAGCACTGTGATCATTCTTCAATGCAATCTCATGTAGCTAAGTACTGCATTTGTAAAGGACAGCTGGCAATTATTTCTGATCTGTTGATGACATGATTTATACTACACACAGGCAGACATGATATACATCACTGTCCATTTGGCCCAACCACTCCATGCCAGTTTGTATGTTTCACTCACCACCTCCCATCTTCTTTCATCAACATCTGTCATCCTAACTCTTTATTCCCTTCTCCTTCATATACTTGTCTAGCTTGTCCTTAAATGCAGCTATACTAACAGTTCCACATTTTTGCCACTCTTTTGTTAAAGTTTCTTCTCAATTCTCTGTTGGATTTCTTGGTAACTACCTTTATATTAATGGCCGTATGAGGAAGAGTCACTCAACCAGAAACGCTAACTGTGATTTTTCTCCACAGATGCTGGCAGATCTGCTGAACTTTTCCAGCAATTTCTGTTTTTGTTTATAATTCGCAGCAATTCTTTCGTTTTTTATTTTATATTAATGGCCCCCGGTTATACTGCTCCCCACAAGAGGCAATATTTTCCGTGTCCGTTCTAAGAAAACATTTCATAATTTTAAATACCTCCATATCACCCATTGGCCTGTTTTCCAAGAGAAAAGAGACCCAACCAATTTACTCATCTGTTTATGGTATTGTCCTTGAAATCTTCTCGGTTTCCTCTCCTGTACCTCTACATCCTTTCATAATATGGCGACCAGAACTGCACGTGGTCATCCAGGTATAAAGTAAAGAAATCCCATTTAGACTTGCACCTTCTAATTTGTGACCTCCCTGTTCTTCCTACCAAAATATGCTACCTCCCATTTATCTGTGAATTTCATTTACCAATTATTGGCCCATTCTGAAAGTCTATTTCATGTCCTGCTGTTAGCATAGATTTCAAAAGGGAAAGTTTTGCTTGACAGACCTTGTTCAAGTTTTTTGGAGGAAATGAGAGAAAATAGACAATGGTAATGCAATAGATGTAATTTACTTGGATTTTCAAAAAGACCTTCAGTAAGGTATGCCATTATAGACTAATGAATAATATTTTTATCATAGCCATTTCTCTCTTTAAGTTAATTCACTGCCTCATCTGGCCAAAGAGTTCATTCTCCACACCCCTCCTCTATTCCAACCCCCTTGCTAGTTCTGTCCACATCCTATGAATAACATTTGGAAGCATCTTTTGAATTAAGTCGGCGGTGGAACAGTAGTAATGTCAGTAGACACTGGACTAAATTCAGAACTCTAGGTTATTGTTCTGGGCACAGGGGATTGAGTCCCACCATGGCAAATGGTGACCATATAGCCACTGTCGATCGTCATTTTACAAAAAAAAACTGGGTTCACTAATATCCTTTTAGAGAAGGAAATCTGCGTCCTTGCCTAGTCTGGCCTACATGTGAGTTCGAACCTGCGGCAATGTGGTTGACTCCTAGCTGCCCTCTGGACAATAAGGGATAGGTAATAAATGCTGGCCTAGCTAGCAATGCTCACACTTCATGAATTAATTTTAAAAACAGGCGGTCATTTAGCAGCCTACTCAGTAATTTTCCTCATCTTGGAGATTTTGTCTTGCATGTAATAAAACATTAAATTATCCTTTGCAATTGTTCTCTTTGTCATTAGGCTGCTCCTTCATTTTGTTGTTCATTCCTGTTCCTTTGCTGATGATTCACTTCCTCCACGTTGACCTATCTCTGTTGCTCAAAATCTTCAGGCCTCTTGCATTGCAGTGGATGAATCAGTTTTTAAGAAAACTGAAGCAGCAGACTTTTTGAGCAGTTGAAATTATTATTTTTCAATTCCTCAAAGTCAGTTTCTTATCTCTCTGGCCTAATCAACAGCTCCCATTCTGATTCCCCATCCATTTTAGCATTGTTTGACTCTGGCTGATCAGATCCCAAAATACAATTCCCACATCTGCTCAATTAAAGCAGTCTCCATAATGCTTGACTTTCTCTTTCACACTGCTCACTTGTTCAATAGCTCTTAACATTTCTGATGTAAATCTTGTATCTGTGTGCATTCCCTGTCAACTCTGCATTAGGCTTAATTAAGAATTTATAATGGAAGTTGCCTCCATTAACCTTGTCAGGCTCCAATTGTATCCTTCCCTCAGCTGTGGGGACACTGCAGTGCTGTCACTGATGGGAGTGTGCAGTTGCACTGTTGAGTTTACGTAAATAGTTTCCATTATAAAAATGGATATAGAATGTACAGCTGTAAAATTGGAGCGAGGTTGTATCTCTGCACTTTGGTTCATTTTATCCTCTGTATTTTAACATTGTTCCACCTAGATACTTTGTCAAACTGCTATTGACTTATGTAGAACAAAATGGAAAATTTCAGTACATCCAGTCTTCTAATATCTGCTGCTTATTGAGAAAATTGCTTCTCATGAGTCACTGCATAGCTGCCTTTCTCTAATTCTGTCTTTTGTAAGTCCTCAAAGCTGTCTGTTCTGCCATCTGCAGGTTTCCTGACTTGCAGCATGGGCCTTATTCCATCAGTAGTACCTTCTCAATTTTCAATAAAACAAAATGCAGACAAGTAGCCTTAGCTCTGATAGCTTCTTCCAAAGAGTCATACCGGACTTGAAATATTAACTCTGTTTCTCTCTTCATGGATGCTGCCAGACCTGCTGAGTTTCTCCAGCATTCTTTGTTTGCCATAGATCTAGCTCCATGCGTTTTTGAGCCGTATATAGAAGGAACCTAATTTTACTGCTGCTTGCAAGAAAACTTTGGATCAGCAGCAATATCAGCCTCCAGTTGTTTAGCTTTCATGTTTAAGTTGGGATGCTGATGAGAGAATTGTATTTCTATTTATTACATTCGATTGCCATATGTCTTCATCTAACCCTTGCTGTACCTGAACTGGCTCTGCTCAATGTCCAGTTAAAATTATTTCTTATAGGAGTCTTCTATAAACTTGCATTACAGCAGTTTGGGCTGAGTTTGCCCTAGAGGCCCAAGCTTGAACCATCCAGTCCCTGTACTACTAAGGCCTTTAGGGCAGCACCATGGCCCAGTGGTTAGCACTGCTGCCTCACAGTGCCAGGGACCTGGGTTCAATTCCACCCTCGGGTGACTGTCTGTGTGGAGTTTGCACATTCTCCCCGCGTCTGTGTGGGTTTCCTCCGGGTGCTCTGGTTTCCTCCCACAGTCCAAAGATGTGCAGGCTAGAGTGGGTTGGCCATGCTAAATTGCCCATAGTGTCTAGGGATGTGCAGGCTAGGTGGATTAGCCATGGGAAATGCAGGGTTACAGGGATTGGGTGGATGCTCTTCAGAGGGCCGGTGTGGACTCGATGGGCTGAATATCCTGCTTGCACACTGTAGGGGGTCTGTGATTCTTGTGGCTCCAGAAGTCAGCAATATCTTCAGGTTGTTTCTCTGTCTATGGCATTGCTAGTGTCAGTTTGCCTTTCATAGCTTTAGGATTGGGACTAAATGAAATTGAAAACTATGCACCACCTCATCTCCAATGACTCTGACTTATTATAGCAAAGACACATTGTGGATGCTGTTAAGAGAAAAATTGTTAATGTTTTGGATCTGTAGCCACTTACCAGAATAGCACTTACTTTCACAGACCTGAAATGTTAACTGGCAGCTTCTCCCTCTCTGGAGAGAGAGAAACAGACATGCTAATCATTTTTAGCATTTTCTGTTTCTTTTTAAGCTCATTTTTATTGATAGGACAGATGCAACTGAGTTATGGTAGGAGTTGGGTCTTATTTCTGATGTCAGGTTATCAACTATTCCACTAACTGCCTCAGTCACTGTTCCAGTTTATAGTGACTGGAATCAGATGTTAATGTGCAATATTTGGAAATTGCAGCTTTTAACAAAGTGGGATTTTAAATTCACTGTTCATATTGAAAGTTATATCATAGTTTGATTTGAGATTCATGTGATGCTCAAATAAATCTTCAGGCACCTTAGTGATAAGGGGAAGATCCCAGATTGTGTCCCAGCAGTTGCTTCATTTGGAAAGGGGTCATCACTAACACCACCATTTCTTTCAGTTCTGAAGAAGACTCACTGGACTCAATGTTAACTCTGTTTTTCTCTCCAAAGATGCTGCCAGACCTGCTGAGTTTCTCCAGTATGTACACTTCTAGATACTGGGGGTGCTTTTAATTACACAGCTACTGTTGCTCTGGCTCTGTTGCTCTCGCTCTGTCTTGCTGTCGCCACTCTGGATTTCACAGTTGCCTGACATGAAGTTTAAATAATGGGAAGATCAGAATGCACCTTATTTAGTTTCCACCAGAATTCAGTACCTTTGTCCCTACCTCCATCTCTAGTGTACAACCTCATTGTGCTGTTCAAGTGCCCTGTGCCAGGTCTCAAAACCATATCTCACCCATTGTTAAGACTGCATGCCTCCAACTCCGCACCCTTGACCGCCACCACTTTTATTTCTCTCACTCACATTTCCTCTATCTCTGCTTCTCATTGCATTGTGACTTAAACATCTCCAGTGTCCATGATCTCCTCTCTATACAAACACCAATTCATCCAAAGCTGAAGTCTGTCTCATAGACTTTTTGGCCTATCACCTATCGCCTCTGCACTTGCTGAATTCTGTTGGCTCCTTGCCTTACATTGGGTTCCATTTACAATTTACCAGAATCTTGCCCTAACCTATCTCTAGCCTTTCTCTGTGTCAGGTCTGGCAGCATCTGTGGAGAAAGAAACCAAATGAACATTTCGAGTCCAGTATGACTCTTCTGAAGAAGCTGTTTCAGATTTCTAGCACCTGCAGTGTTTTGTTTTTATTTGACTGTTTCACCTTTGACCATGTCTCTAATCTGCTGTTCTGAAACTTCCTAAACAGCAGTAGAAGACGTATGATGTTGCAAGGTGATGTACAAATGCAAAGTGGTTGATCACCAACCTGGCTTCAAAGTGTTACTGTGTGTGACTGAGGAAGCTGAACATGCATGCATGATGGTATGTTTGCAAACATACCTGGCAGTAACTCTCTTTTCTCATATTCCTGCTTTTAGCACTTTTTTTTTCGCCCGTTGTTGTCTGTCACCATTGCTCTGTTCAAATTGGAAATTGATGAGTATGTAGAATGACAGAATGCAGTCGTTTAACTTCCTTTCTTTGCTGGGAAATGGTATAGAAGACTTTTTTTTTAATTCTGGAAAAGTGCTTAAATATGAAAAGAAAGAATGAGATGCTGAAATTATATACACCAATGCTTTATTTGTATTCTACAGAGGATAATCCAGTCAATACTGCAATGTTACATGTCAGATTTTTTCAGTGTTCTTTTTCACTAAATTCTAAATCTTGTTTTCAGCTTCTGTAGGTGTTCCATTGTTCCCAGCCCCTTTGAGTGAACCTTTCACTGTGTCATTAGCCAATGCAACCATCACCACTACTGTGCCAGGTATGCCCAGTCCAATGGTACACGTAGACTTTGAATAGAATTTGCTGCCATAGACTGGTTGTACAACAATGCATTTGTGATTATCAGTTACTTGGTATATTCTGTGCATGTTCATTAAGCTGCTCATTTGTTTAAAAGTTTCATGATCAACTATTACCAAGAGGGGTAAAATTGCAGTTCTGCAATAAATGCAGTTCTGAGGAAGGGTCACCGGACCCGAAACGTTAACTCTGTTTTCTCCTGCACAGATGCTGCCAGACCTGCCGAGCTTTTCCAGCAACTTTGTTTTTGTTGCTTTTAAGTTCTGTTCTGTTTCCTGGTATTTGTACAATGCCGGTCTTAATATTTTTGTGATTCTGGCTTTATACTCCCTCTCTTTCCTTGTCTGTCAAATAGTTTTATTTTCTGATTTTTTTTTTCCTTTATTTATATTCTGTCTATAGGCTTCTCATACCTACAGTAGATGGCCTACAGCAATTCAAGAAGGCAGCTCCTTCTCGAGGAGTAACTAGGGATGGGAAATAAATGCTGGCCCAGCCAGCAACGTCCATGTCTAACAAGTGAATAAAAACAATGCCTTATACTTCAATTTTAGTCTTCTAATGCCTTTATTACTCAGCTGCATTCTGAAGCCTGAAATTGTCTCCCTTTTAATCAATGCTGTCGTAATCTTTGTTCAACCAAAAAATCCCTCTGATCTAAAGTTCTCAGTTTCAGTTTCCCTTTCTACCTCTGCTAACTCACTCCATCTTTTCTAAAATTTCCCTTTCCCTCTCCCAGTCCCCTTGTTTTTGTATTTGCTTTCCCCTTAACCTGATCACATTAATGGTCACTGCTTCCATAGTAACATCTGATGACCGATACATTTCTTAATTAGCTTGGACAATAGTCTGACAATGGACTATTGCCACCCAGGTTGATAGGGTTGTTAAGAAGGCGTACGGTGTGTTAGGTTTTGTTGGTATAGGGATTGAGTTTCGGAGCCATGAGGTCATGTTGCAGCTGTACAAAACTCTGGTGCGGCTGCACTTGGAGTATTGCCTACAGTTCTGGTCGCCGCATTATAGGAAGGATGTGGAAGCATTGTAAAGGGTGCAGAGGAGATTTACCAGGATGTTGCCTGGTATGGAGGGAACGTCTTATGAGGAAAGGCTGAGGGACTTGAGGCTGTTTTCATTAGAGAGAAGAAGGTTAAGAAGTGACTTAATAGAGACATACGAGATGATCAGAGGATTAGATAGGGTGGACAGTGAGAGCCTTTTTCCTCGGATGGTGATGGCTAGCACGAGGGGACATAGCTTTAAATTGAGGGGTGATAGATATAGGACAGATGTCAGAGGTAGGTTCTTTACTCAGAGAGTAGTAAGGGCGTGGAATGCCCTGCCTGCAACAATAGTAGACTCGCCCACTTTAAGGGCATTTAAATGGTCATTGGATAAACATATGGATGATAATGGAATAGTTTAGGTTAGATGGGCTTCAGATTGGTTTCACAGGTCAGCACAACATCAAGGGCCAAAGGGCCTGTACTGCGCTGTAATGTTCTATGTTCTATGTTCTTCCGTTGCAGGTATGTAGGCAAATTGTTTTGAGGAAGGAGTTCTGTACACAGTAGGAAAGGAATAGGATTCCTGCAGTTTGCTGTCTCTATGCCCCAACCAATATACACATA